CCTGATCTTTAATGAGCTCCTACAATAATAAGAAAAGAACATAAGAAACAGAGTTTCAGGTCCGACCAAGAATGTTTTTTTAGAAGAGTAAGTAAAGAAACGTCGTACCTGGACAAATCGGTATAAGCCAGGAATCGCCATTACATCTGCACCAAGCAACTTCAGTCCAAAATCGACTTGTGGCTACAGAAGAAATCACATTTTAGACTCTCTTGTGTTTTAAAAGGTATTATTAAAAAAAAAGTTTGATCCTATTTGGATTACACCTTATCCATAAGAGAGACAAATATGTTGGCAAAACAGGGGAAAGATGGGACCAAAGGCTTCAGAGTAATCCTTGGAGTAGCATAAACTTGCAAATCAACCACCTGATGATACAATCTTGCAAGTAATCAGAAAGCTTGCTAATTTTCTTTGCGGTTTAGCAATCAAAAAACTTACTTGAACGGTAGCTTTTAACCCAAATGCTTTGGCTACAACAATGATATTAGGGTTCCCTGCCCATTTCACTGACAACTCCATTATTATTTCTTTGTCATCAGTTGCATAAACTTTCATTCCTGCAAATGATAGTGAGAATCAAAACAAACATGTAGGAAAAAGAATGTGTATCTATTGAGTGTTAAACACAAGGAGAAACCTTGGAAACTTGGTGGTAATGAACCCAAAGTGAGCATTTCAAATTCAACTGAATCGATTTTGTAGTTTGGAATTTGCTCAGCGATAATAGGTTTGGCAATTGACTTGGCCATCTTACAAATAGCCTGAAAAGAGACATTACAATATATAAGCATTGTTTCACAACTTATTATAGATAAAAGCCAGAAAAACAATATGAAGCTAAGAAGAAGACTTTACTTTGTCCAAGTAAGGCCACATATGGCCAATGAGCTTGTTAAGCCAGTCAATCTTCAAATAGAAAAAGAGACTTTGTTACAAATTATACCATAATATATACTAGCGTATTCAACTGAGGAGATTTAGAGAATGTAAAGAAACATACACGATCAAAATCAGGATTTTTCACCCACAAAGGTATTTCAGGGAACATTTTTGCTATAGTCTCTGAATCTAACTCCACCAGTGGCTTGATCTCAGGATCCTAACCAAAAAATCAACAAGTAATGTCAACAAATTAAGCAATAAACTTTTGGCTAACCAAGAAGAACATTAGAAGTACAGAAAAGCTTATCTCCAAATTTTTTAAAATAAAAGATATCAATCTTCTCGTATGTTTTAAGAATATCCAATCGATCAATTCACAACAAAAATGAAAGAACAAAACATGCCTGAACATCAGTAGACTGGAAATAGATGAACAAGTAGTAACCAATGACGATTCCGATCGTTGTTCCAAATCCAAAACCAATCACACCCAATATTGTGCTGATTATTCCCATTTTCTCATCAATTCAAATCTCTTGGCAAAACACTCTTCGGATTCTTTGAACTATACGAAAACCAAACCTTTAATCTAGAAAGAGAAATCGCATTTACTTAGGGGAGATTAAATATCAATTAATGTTTTGATCTGCCCATGGATTTACGTTAGAGAAAAAAGATCACCAGACTCATATAGTCACATTACTATTTTCCTTCACTTGATCAAAAAACAGTTTCGAATAGGAAATTTTCAAGAGCGTTATGTACGGACTAACTCTGAAACGTCCATTTGTTTGGCTCAGATTTTATAGTTCAATAATATCGACAAATAAGGACTTTATTGCAAGGGATCATCACTGATTGTCTATTTCAATACAAACCTTTGCTTCAACTTCTACATTGCTTACTCATTAATCTTCTCTTTTTATGTTTACAATGTAACGATTTCTTCTTGTTTGTCCACTACCATATTTTCTTAGTAGTGAATTAAGGTACATTGTTTTTATGATGCTTTTTTTTACATCGTTTTTATGATGTTTATAAATAAATGGATAAATCGTAATATTTAAGTAGATAAAAATAAACATGGTCTTGTTATTTTTATATCTTAGGTAACTGTTCTTTTAGTACATGATTATATTTGGATTACATTGCACTTTTATTTTTTGTTTTATGGCTACAAGTCTGCAACCGTAACAAAACAAAAAGCTTATTTAAGTCAGTCTATAATTGTATATGGTGCATATAAATTTAAAAAATATTTCGAAAATCCAATAAGTTTTTTAAATGAGGATGTTTTCTCTTTAATCGCACAATACAATGGATTTAAGTTACGTAACTTAAACTAAAGTTAACACGAGAAAGGCCGAGGAAAATATATACTTGGATCAATTCTCAAGCCTTAAGATATACGCCCCAAAGTAAACCCATCGATGGGGAGGCCTTCCCATTACACTCTACATATCCATCTATGATCTATATATACACTTAACTGGATATCACCAACACTGTTATTTTGGTACCTGATGTAGTAGTCTCGACCAACAATTAGATGTATTATATACAGAAAAAGTTATAAAGAAAATGCTAATTAGATGTATCATATGATTCATGTACCTACTTGCGTATTATTTATAGCGAAGAAATGTTTAAAGTTCGATAATCGATGTGTTATACTTAGAATCTATAACCAAATTGTTTCAATTTCTTAATATGGAAGCAAGCCAAGGATCATAAAAAGCAGGTCTAAAAACAAAAGTATACAAAATGTTATATGTGCATTCTTTAAAGAAGAAAAAAAGGGGATGTACGTGGATTTAGATATGGTCGGTGCATAAAGTAATAATAATCATGATGGAGCACGTCATCCGCTAAAGGCGACACCAAAAGTAGCAATGCACTGACTCTCGTGGTAACTCCACATAAACCCTAGCTAGCAGCTACGTATACGTATAATGTGGGGAAATTTTTTACAAATTTTGGTGAAAAATGGGATACAAGAAAAACAATTATTATCGAATGAGAAAACAGAAAGAGGACAAATAAAATGAAAATTAGTTAATGGATTAATTAAATTTTATACATATTAGAATATTATCAGCTGTAGATTTTATTTAACAAAAAAAATCAGGGTTACTGCTTATGTTGTAAGAAAACATCTCAGACTACATATATCAATTATCTAAGTAAAAAATCATGTTACAGGGTTTTTGTAAAATACTATAGATAGATCCTGAGTCTTAATCTTCGATTATGAATAAAATGTGATATATATTACCGCCTATGTTGGACTTATGTGCAATTTGCGTTAAACTTTGATTTTATTTGGTTGAAAATGCAAGTCAACAAATAAAATCAAAGTTATACCAAACACGCTGCAATGTATTAAATATGTACATACGAGACGAAAGGATGAAAAGAAAAGAGTGACCACACCTAACCATGATTATGCCAAAACAAGTTTAAGAAAAAGCTGCAATCATCATCCAAGTTATATTATATACAAATATACAATTACCCTTTATATAGACTATCGAGCAACCACCCTCGATCGTATAATATATATATGAAATTCGTCGTATACAATACCCATAAATAATTATAACCTATAGACTACCAAGTTAAAGAAATACACATAAATATGATGAAATTCGTCGTATTATACTTTTGGGTGTTTCAAAGCACACCCACATAAAATATACTACTATATAAGTTCATAAATGTAGTATTGGAATCCATCCGCAATATTAATACAATCAGATAAATATGTTATGTTGTTTCCATATTATTAGAAATCTGGTTTGATTTAATCCAAAAGCTCAAAAATTAAAAGTTGTCACATTTTAATTAAAAAAATCGAAATATTGGTGGTAAACGGTTCAACAGGAATAGTCCAAACCCAAAATATCAAAAATATAACAAGACATGTTATTTGTGTGAACCACATAAATAAAAAAAATTATATTTTTAAAGAAAATGATCAATTTTAGACTCTAATACTATATTAGAAATGTAGTCTAACTCAACATAAAAACTAGCTCAAAAGTTAAAATTTGCTAACATGATATATTATTCAAAGATCTTTACATTCTAATAGATATTACTAGATTTGAGTGTTAATATTATTTATATAATTATATTATATGCATGTCATATATATGATCACATGTTTGAATTTTATTTTTCTTATCACCACAAGAATAGGCCGAAACTCAAACCAAATCCTGGAAATAGCATTTAAATAAATCATACTGATTAATTAGTCTACTTTTTTTTTATTATTATTAATTAGTCTACTTTGATAGTAAATTAACATCGATCAGCTATGATTTTCTCTTCAATATAAAATTCCCCCTATTAAAGATTCGGTAGTGCTAATTGGCTCAATCGTTCAAATGGTAACATTAAGAAAATGACAAGTTTTGATTCGCAGCATTAATCAGTTTATTCGATTTCTAGGCTCAGTCGTTCAAATGGTACAACATAATTTATACCTATCATTTGCATTTCAATATTATATAACGATTTTTAAAATTGATATTTACGCAATAGACAATATCGTAGTGATATCCTCATTCCTCAATGCTCTCTATTATAATGTCCACCATATAAAATACTATTCGATATCTAATATCTTCTTCATTCGAATTATTTTTATGGTAAGCACATGCAACCATGCATGAAAGACCGACCAATCCTATTCTTGGAAAACCTCACGACAGCGATGAATGGCTGGTGTTATGCCACCTGTCAAGATCTACGACGATGGAATTGACTGGGACCTACACTTTCCCTCCACGTGAGGTCATCAACGAAGAACGCCACCGATGATACCGACGTGTATGGTCAAGATCTGCCTAAAGCAGATCCCTACTCACACGGCTCAGATTCTCTCAGCGGCTATTGTAATACTTATTTCACGATCCAACGGTTCAAATTCAATAGGCGGTGACCGTCCTACAGTGTTTCCCGGGACTTGAGCTCTATTGTGCAATTGGTATTGTAATCTTGAAGCTTAAAAACTGCGATATTTTAGTCTAAAATAAATATATACTATAAAAATATTTTTTAAAAATACGTATTATTATTGGTAGCTTCGATTATAAAAAGAGACAGCCGTGCTCAGTGCCTGGCAACATCTGTCCTCTCGAGGTTAGGGTTCTTTAGAGAGCTTTTTTATTCTATCGAACGATCCTTTGGATCTTGTTATGAGAGTTAATTAATTTGAACATTAACATGTTTTAGAAACTCTGCGTTTTTCTATTTGTCATAAACCTTTTTGAAAATTTAATCAAACTTATAGCTAGGGCTTTCGATCGTATTATTTGGTAGATCGATCGTCGCCATTTAAACGTATATAAATATCTTTCTCTGTTTTTTCCTTGATTTATCCTTCCAAATCTTCGTAAACTTTACCCTTAAAAAAACTTAAAAATATTTTAAGTTATATCAATGGAAACAATAGCAGTTCAACGTCCACCGGGTAAACAGGTTTCGGGTTTGAGACCATTCAAGAACCCTAAAAGAAGGAGTTCTCGTGGTTCTCTTTCAAGATCCGGAGGAAGTTTGGCTCTTCCGAATAAGCCAACGTCGTCTTGGGGATCTTCTCCGGCATATCCGCCGCCGCCAAGTTACTCTCAGCCTCCTCTTCTCCCTCTGCCACGCGTCAACAGCTCAAGTCTTCCTCTGCAACGCGTCAACAGCTCTCGACCACGTGTCAACAACAATTCTTCTCTCAATTGCGTCGCTCAGACGAAAGTAAATTCTGACACACACAAGAAATCAGACTTCGTTGAATCGGTTCCAATACTGACTCGAACTGGTTCAGTTCCGGTCCGGTCTAACAACCTGCATGATTTTCCTAAAGGATTTGATGGTTACCCAGGTCCAGCGATCATGTTATTATCTCCACCGCCGAGTAGTTTGCCCATGCCTAGGTTTTCTATCAAACCGAAGCTTCATTGCAACGTAGAAGCTAATGGCAAAAATGACGTTCCCGCCGATAACATCCGGCGAGTTTTACAGCTCCGGTGAAAAGGTGGTACGTGCTACGTAACGTTTGATATGTTTCAAATAAAATAAGCCTATGGGCTTTTTAATACTTTATTGGGCTTGGGTCTGTCTTGGTTTTTTTAAATTGATAGCACTCTTCTCTACTTTGTGTGATTTGCTAAGCAATGACTTTTTTTAAAAGGCTCTCTTGGCACAAAACTAGCCTGGCTGTAATAGATTTTCATTTTTATGTTCATTCTTAAAATAAAAAAAGTTCCTGATGATGACATTGAATATCGAGTTTGTAACATCAATGTTGGTGATGATATTGAATACTGAGTTTGTAACATCAATGTAAGAAACAAAGCTGGTCTTCTCTGTGCTAAAGATGATAATAATCTCAACCTTCTGTGAATCAGCCCCGGCTCAATATATTTGAGAGCCTTAGGGCAAAAAAAAATTTTTTGGCCTATTATTATATACAAAGAGAAAATTTACTTAATTTTAAAAAATTTTGCGAAATTTTTATAGTAAAAATTGTTATTTTAAAAATTTTGGACCTTTTTATACATTTTCTTATAAATAATTAGGTCTCTTAAAATATAATTCTCATATTAATAATATTTTTAAAAAATATTTGAGCCTTTTTTATATGTAAATTTTTTTATTAAAAAAAAAAGCTCCGGGCCGTCGACAATTGGGGCAAGTGTAATATGTTGTCTGTCCATCAGCTGATCTTGTCTGCAAATCAGAAAACTCTGAAGAACACATTCATTGGAGACAAGAAGAAGAACTTTGAAGCTTGGACATACCTACCTGTCTGGTTGTGTAGACAAGCTCCGGATGCTGGCATTTTTTTCGCATGCCTTTTTGATCTGCAAAGAACATTCAATATCAGAAGGTAAAGGATTAAGAAAAACTGTAACATAAAAAAAAAAAGAAAAAAAAAAAAAGAAAAAAAAAAAAAAAGAAAAAAAGAAAAACTGTAACATGTTATTGAGTCTGTTTTCTTAAAAACCTTTGGTAGCTCAGCTTCTTCCTACGTTTTTTCACCGAACAGAGATATTCCTACTTCTCTTCTAATATCCTGCAAAAAGCTAAAGATCATGATGAGTTGTATACTAACTCTCCATTGTGGATAATCTCCCTAAACTCCAAAGAACAACATTAGTTCTTGCAAGAATAACATATATAAGCAGTCTCCACTTTCAGTTTTGAAACTAATTAGATAGCAGGCACAGGTTTGTGTGTGTATGTGTGTTCACTGCCTAATAAGTAATAACAATGGACCGGAGGAAATCAAGAGCGAGATCTTTGTTACACCGTGAAACAGAAACCAAATTCGATTGATTTATACACAACTTGTGAATAACACAGAGATATATGATGCAGCAAAACTAGTTCAGACAAGAGAATCCACAATGCTGAATAAAGGAAAACACATACCTCAGCAGAAACTGTGTATGATATATTCTTGTCAATGATTTCTGAAAACAATGACGTTTAAACCACAATAAGATTAACCATGACAAGAACCAAAACTGTTCGATTAGATATAACAAGATCTAACACGTATTCATGGATACCTTTGGCATTTCTCGTTGTTTCGCAGAGTGGACATTCTACATACTTGGTTGATTTCAAGACCAGCATCGTCCCACACAAATTACAGAACAAGAACCCACTTTCCCGAGATTTCTCCATTAGAGAGAACCTTGCAGAACTTTACGAGTAGTGATAAAGAGACGTAAGGGGTTTAGAAATCCAACGGTTTGTGCTTACAGTTTCCGGCGGCGGCGACGATTAAGAAGCGGAGGCGGAGATAGAGGACGAAGAAAGAAAATTTTATTATTGCACAAATATAATGGGCTTCAAACAAAAGCCCAATATAATGGGCTTCAAATTTGTACTGAAAGTATTTATTTAAATTAATTTCGTACCAACCAAAATAAATTCCAAAATTGGCGATAATTATTTTGATTTAACATTTTCAATTGAAAGTTGAAAATTGAAACGCTCCATTTTTCCGCCATTGAGAGAAAGAGACAATGGAGGAGAAACAGAAAAGTCTCAGTCCTCCGCCGTGCCCTTCCACTGTAACAGTGCGACGGAATCCTTCGAGGAGAGCTAGAGCAACGCCGTATACAACTGCAACTAAGCCACCTTTCTCCTCTTTAGCCTCCGCGATAACCCACGACGTTCCTACTTTTCCGATCGACGAGATTCTCTCCATCCAAATCCCACAATCCGAACCAAAACAATCGATTCCAGAGAGTTTGAAGATTTTCCTGAGAATCAAACCTTTGAGAAGCTTCACCAAGGTTACCACAACGAAGGCCAGACCTAGAAATGTGTGGCCACAGAATCTTTCGAAGAAGAACATCGCGAAAGAGAACAGGAATCCGGAGATTACGAAGAAGGTTAAGAAGAAGGACGAAGAAGCTTGTATTACTCTCAACGATCCTTATTCAGTCACATTAACTCCGCCTCAATCGTTGCAAGAGCTGAAACGAAGTAAGACTGAAGTATACGAAGGGTTTTCTCATGTTTTCCCGGCGGATTGTTCTCAGGTTCGATCAAATTTCGTATCGATTTCGCTTTATTTTTGGTGGAATTTGAGATTGGATCAGAGTTGACGAGTTTTTTTGCTGGTTGTAGAACGATGTGTATGATAAAATGGTTCAACCTTTGTTGGAGGATTTCATGAAAGGGAAAAGCGGAATGTTGGCGGCATTGGGACCTAGCGGCTCGGGGAAGACACATACGGTCTTTGGAACTTTGAAGGATCCTGGAATTGTGCCAATTACACTCCATCGAATTTTCAAGAAGAGTGATGAGAGTTCTTCTGGACCTTTGAGGTACTGTTTGTTCATCTTAACTACTAATAGGTTATGTAGTATTATGATACACCATGGATGTGTCAATAGCAGAAAAACCAAAGTGTATGAAACAATGAATTTGTTTGGACTACACACAGCTTTGTATCTTGTTGTTCTATAACATCTCATTACTTTTCTTCAGGTTATTTAACTTGTCCATATTTGAAATATGCTCTGAACGAGGGAAAGGGGAGAAAGCTTATGATTTACTAGGTGGTGAAAGCTCTGAATTGTCTGTGCAGCAATCAACCATCAGGGGTTTGAAAGAGGTTTGTGAGTTTTTTTTATGTGTGTGGTGTTTCTTGTGTTGACCATAACAGTCAGTTGCTTTTCATAATGATAGATGAATATATAACTCTCCGTCTTTTCTCAATCATTTGTGTTAAGTAGGTCCCAATCCAGAATTTGGAGGAAGCAGAGTCTTTAATTGGACAGGCAATGCTGAAACGTGCGACAGCTACAACAAACTCAAATAGCCAATCAAGGTACTTGGATACAAAAGTTTTGCACACCAACTTGATTTTAACCTTTGCCAACACACCCTTGTACCCTTATTTAATCGATAAATTAACTGAATTAGAAGCCCTTTCACATGGAAGATAGAGCCATTTTCAATAATGTCTATCTAGATGTCTTCATGTTCTATATTAATTTTGAAATTACTCGCAGTCGCTCACAGTGCATCATTAACATACGAGCATCATGCAATGGCTTTTCCAACGAAACAAAAATGCAGTCTAGTGATGCTATGCTGACAATAGTGGACCTGGCGGGAGCAGAAAGAGAGAAAAGAACTGGAAATCAGGTTTTTATCTATTTGTTTACACTTTGTATATGGACTCTTTACATATTTGATATGCAAAGCCACAAATATGTCATATCTGAATGTATTTGTCTTATAAATACAGACTCAGTGTAATAGTTAGGAGAAAAGATCCTAGCTTAATTACAGATTATAGGTGACTTTAAGATATAACAGTGAAGATGTCTTCATCTGTAAACTAAAACTTGGTCCATGTTTTCCCGTTCAAATTGTTTTGCAGGGAGAAAGGTTGGTTGAGAGTAATTTCATCAATAATACATCCATGGTTTTCGGTCAATGTTTACGGGTAAGGCCATTGATTTTGGACTCCCTGGAGCTGACCCTTATTTTATCTCTTTTTTTAATGCCTCCAATTCCACTATCCATGAACACTCGGTATCTGTTGGCAGTCACTGTTGGAGTACCAGAAGAACCGAAAGAAGGGATTGCAGAAACATCATCAAAATTCTTTGGTAGCGTCTACCTTAAAACCCTTTACATTATCTAATCTTCCATGCTATATGCTAATATGATTTTGGCTTTATGTAGCTAACAAGGTACTTGCGAGATTACCTAGAGGGAAAAAAGAGGATGGCTTTGGTATGCGTAACAGATTTGTGGGATTTCTTCTTGAGTTCTTTAACAAGAGTTAATTTTCAAATATTGAAATTTTTCTTCTCCTCTTCTATCTATTTTACAGATTTTAACTGTCAAAGCAGGGGAAGAGGATTATCTTGATACCTCCTATCTTTTGAGACAAGCATCACCCTATATGAAAATCAAGTAATATTTGGTATTATGAACTCAAAGAGGAAGTCTAGTTTTCTTGCAAGTGCTAATGCCTTCACATTTGTTGTTTTATTTAGATTTGATAACACCGAGGAACCTTGCAACAAGAGACAGCTCAAGACATTTCCAAGAGCTGAAAAAAACAAGAAGATTAAACTTAGCGCTCCCAAGACTTCCCAAGTAAGTGTGGCTTCCTCTACACATTTTTATTGTATTTTCAGCAAAACTGAAAAGTCGTCGGCATATGCCATTTACTAAAAAGCGTGTTTGCCATCTCTAGATTGAAGAAATTTTTCATGAAGAGAGAAGCCAAATTTCTCAGGAAGGTGGGATTTTGCTCTGACAATTTTTCCACACTTTTGAGTGCACGGAATTTACGTCGCTTTCTTTCTGTGATCTCTCATGTCTCATCTTTCCTGAGAGACAAGGAGATGAGAGATCACAGAAAAGACCTGTTTACAAACAAGTAGGCAAATGTCTAATATGTTTTCTCACCAGTGCATGTGCAGGGAAAGAAAGCTGATCCAGCAGACCGATCATCTCCAAGGCTAGAGCCTGTTTCCCATGATAAAAATGAGCGAGAGCACATCATCATGCGGAATTTTTCTAAAGTCTTATGGAATGTTTTGAAGCAGTACAACGAGAAATTAAAAGTAATATCCTGACTTTGCCTTTCATATGCCTCTGTTTACACTGAACAGATTGTGATTGAGCTTATGTCCTTGAAGCTATGATGTATCACAGTTGAAATATATCTTTTGTTCTTTTTCTTTTTATCATCTTAGGTTGCAGAAGGTGAAATTTGCACTCTCAAGGATAGCCTTCGAAGAGAACAGTTAAAATCTCTTGTTTTGGAGACAGAGTTGAGCAGTCTCAAGTCCTCTTGCCTGGCAGAGCCATGTATACCTGAGGTAGAAGCCTTTGTACATGCAAAAGAAAACTTTGAGGTTGCCGCGAGTATGACAAATGTGGTAGTAAGTTTGGATAAGGGGTTCTTCTTAATACTTCACTTTCTCATACCTGGCAAAGATATTTATTGGTAATCACAAATTTTCAGAGGAATGTAGATGATGATTCTTGCAACCTTATAAAGGCAAGAAAAGAAGCTGGAGCAGAAGAATCCAGCGAGTCTCCTGTGCCTTATGTTGTAGTAAGTTTGAATATGTTTTCTTCTTAATACTCCACTTCTCATACCTGCCAAAGATATTCATTTTTAATCACAAAATTTCAGAGGAATGTCGATAATGATTCTTGCAACCTTATCAAGGCAAGAAGAGAAGCTGGAGCAGAAGAATCCAGCGAGTCTCCTGTGCTAGTAAGTTTGGATATGCTTTCTTCTTAATACGTCACTTCTCATACCTGCCGAAGATATTAATTGCTAATCACAAATTTTCAGAGGAATGTCGATGATGATTCTTGCAACCTTATCAAGGCAAGAAGAGAAGCTGGAGCAGAAGAATCCAGCGAGTCTCCTGTGCCAGTAAGTTTGGATATGCTTTCTTCTTAATACGTCACTTCTCATACCTGCCGAAGATATTTATTGCTAATCACAAATTTTCAGAGGAATGTCGATGATGATTCTTGCAACCTTATCAAGGCAAGAAAAGAAGCTGGAGCAGAAGAATCCAGCGAGTCTCCTGTGCCTTATGTTGTAGTAAGTTTGAATATGTTTTCTTCTTAATACTCCACTTCTCATACCTGCCAAAGATATTCATTTTTAATCACAAATTTTCAGAGGAATGTCGATTTTGATTCTTGCAACCTTATCAAGGCAAGAAGAGAAGCCAGCGCAGAAGTATCCAGCGAGTCTCCTATGCCAAGCAAAAATGTAGTGCCTGCCTGCTCGTTCTAAGGCTGTGCATGTCCAAATATTTATTTGATATTAATAAGTAATAATAACCTTCAATTTGTGTTTTAAGGTGAAAGATGCTGAACTTGTTCGATGTCACTTGTCTTCGCAGAATGATGCAGAGCCAAGAGTAAGGCTAGTTCAAGTTGATACATTCTTTGTGTAATTCAGAAACTTGTCCACGAAATCATGTGCTTTGTTGTGTGTTTGCACTTATCAGCAGTCTGTCAATTCTGAAGAAAATGTGGGGATTCCTTCTGCGACTACTCATGTTGAAGCTGAAGTTACTGACTTTCCAAGAGATCAGGTATATGAAATATTTTCAATACATCCGTGAGTTACAACAAGTCAACAACTCACAGAACGAAATGAACTCAAAACTGATTTTCCTCTAGGCCATCCAGAATCAAGATGATCCAACACCTTCACCAGAACAAGTTGAAGTTGGTCAAGATTTCATCAATAGCCAGATATCTAATGTTCAAACAAAATCCGCAGTATCCCGCCGATTTCCAGATTCAGAGAAAAAAGAAAGGTTAAGAGTGATTTCTGATCTTCACATACAGTTTAAAGACAGTTTCCTCTATTGAAGCTGTAGGAACCAGTCACTTTATCTTTCTGTCTAATTTTTTTTGGTTCTGTTTCAGAAACAGAAGACTGTTGCCAGTGTCATCCAGATCGCTAACTGAGGAAATGAATGACTTGAACATAAAAGAGAACCAGATTGAGAAACCACAGGTTGGGCCATTCTCAATCTCTTGCTCCTCCACAAACCTTGACAACTTCACCTCATAGCACAAAAAATCAAATTTCACAATGCTCCAAAACTGGTATAACTAAACTTCATTCTCATTTCTAGGTTAAAACCGCCAAGACTTGTGTTCAAAAGAAAGCAGAATCAATCCAAGGTCAGGAAATTGCAGTCCCTGCCCGTGAAGCAGAACCTGCATCAACTAAGAAACAGAGGAATGGACAGAAACCAAAAAGGTTGTTCTTTTGCCAATCTTTATTTCTTCGTTCTCAGTCTCTTCTTTTCAGGTTTACTCAAATAGAAAACCTTTGTTCCTGTGACAGGAGACTCCAACCTGCTTCGTCTGTGTTATTAACAAGAGAAATAAACACCTTAGAAATCGAAGATGATATCGCCGAGCCAAAGGTATGACCGAACTAGACACAAAGAAGCAAACTTCGACAATGTTGGTAAAAAGTTTAATAGATCGAAATCGTGTGATTAAGTTGTCAATTCACTTGCAGGGGACCAGAGGTGGAAAGAAGACGACAGTGTCACAACCGAGAAGCCAAGGGAGTGTCACTCTCCTCCACCTCCTAACAAACAATCTTCATCTCTAAGATTTATCAAACAAACTTACGTCAACATATTATTGTACCTTCTATTGTCTGTCTTAAAAAAAGGTTTAAAATATCAAATCCTGGTTGTATATATGTCAAAAAGAAACTGAAATATTTCAACTTTGAAGTCTTATTACAATTGAGATATTTAAAATTTTGGAAAACAAGCTCTGTTATCAGATTCATTTGCATTTGTGTCTCATTTCAATTTTCAAGTCACATTCAATTGTCAAAGATGGTCAAATCCGTCCCCACCTGATCCTCTTAAGTCATAACGCATACATGTTCATTGTTAAACCAGGAAGAAAGTAAACAAGTTATGTTTGCAAGGAGTGGGACAATGATGTTACTGTAAGAAAAACTTAACAAAAGTGCAAATATAAACTATCCTCAAAAGGAGACTCATCTTATACCACTTGTTCATTAATGTAAAGAGACAGAGAACATAGTCAAAGTTTTTAAAATGGATAAATTATCCGCAAAAGGTGACAAATGTTCATTGCTATAATAGCAGTAACCTGAAGAGATAAAGAGATGATCACTAGGTAGAATGTTGGAAGAAGATTCTTTGATCCTTGCTTCAACGGGTTTTCTTCTTCGTCTTAATCTCAACGTTGTTGTTTGCAGCTGCACAAATCTTATTCCAGCAACGGAAAGAAATGAGTGAAGGTATCAAGACCCACCATCCATTAGCCCCGATGTAGTAGGAGTAATAGTAGAAGGAGTTTGTAGCAAAGTTGTCTCCTTCCAAGATAGCAGTAATGAAATAAACCAAACATCCGTAGAGCTGGCCAACCGAAATCACAAGCTGAAGCACGTAGCTATACGACTTCTCCTTAGCAATGGCATATCTGATTATCATCAACAACAACTACTTTACAGTTCATACAAAAACCAAAAATGGTTCATTTGAAATGAATGGAAACTTCTTACATAGCTAGGAGACAAGCAGGGCCAACGATAACAGCAGTGATCCCTTCAACAGACACAACTGCAGAATCTCTACCTGCGTATCTCGAATCACCTTTGCTATATTCTTTCCCTGTGAAAGAACTTACGAATTGGTCTACTTGAACAACAATACCAACACTAAGAAGAAGAATATAAAAGAACTTACAGACTTCAGCGAGATAACAAGAAGTGTTGTCCTTGAAAAACTCAGGAGAGAAAACGAAATAGCCTTCGAGGATGATGTGAGTGAGACCAGTGAATGCCCACCAACACATAAGCAATTTCTCAACTTTAGCTTTCTTCCTCCCTGATAAACCATTCAGTAACAAGTTTCCGATTTGAGTCAAACTCAGGTCAATTTTGTCGACTATATATTACTCGCATCAGTTCAAATTCAACTTAAATCGATGATCTGGTTTCGATAGACAATGCAGAGAGAGAGAGAGAGAGAGAGAGAGAGAGAGAGAGAGAGAGAGAGAGAGAGAGAGAGAGAGAGAGAGAGAGAGAGGGGAATTGGGATTATTACCGAAGAGAAGCCAGACGAGGAAGACAACAAGGAGGGAAGAGCCGAGGTAGATAGTGACAATGGAGGACATCGACATGGAGATTGGTACGTATCCCGGCAGTTTCAGATCTCTCGGAACGTACGGATGCGCCAATTCCTCCATGGTTTTTTTCTCTCTCTCTGTGTTTTCTGGTCAATGACCCAATGTGAATTAGTGGAACTCTCTACTAGATCTGAGTGCTGATGATGTGCTTACTACTAATCTCTTCGATCCCAGAAATTTATTCACTCGTGTCTTTTTTTAGTAATAAATGGTCAAAGTAAATTATCAGAAGGAGACCTTTGTTTTATAATATAATAGTTCTTTGAGAACTAAAATCAGTAGCGTCAGGATGGCCGAGTGGTCTAAGGCGCCAGACTCAAGTTCTGGTCTTCGTAAGAGGGCGTGGGTTCAAATCCCACTTCTGACATTACTTTTAATCTCTTTATATTTTAATATTTTGTAAAAATTGTCCACACGAAGATCATTGATACAGTAAAAACCTCTAAAATTAATAATGTTAGGACCGAAAAATTTTATTAATTTATAAAAATTTTAATTTATCGATAAAATTATTAATTTATATAGAGATTTTACTAATTTTGTAAATTTCTAAAAAGTTTATATCTGAAAAGCAGTTTTTCCTTATAATTAATACTCTCTTCGTCCCATGAAAATAGATTTTTAAAAAATTTCACATTCTTTAAGAAATAACGTATAATGACAATTTTAACCTTTTAACCTTTTAACACATTTTAAAGAGTATATTATTTATTGTTCTTTAATAAGGGTAAAATAGATAAACTGTTTTAAATTTGACATTGGAAACACAAAACTTCTATATATGTGGGACAAATTTTTTATTCTAAAAAATATATCTTCGTGGGACGAAGGGAGTATATTGTTTGGTTTTGAGTTGGAAGTTGATGTAGCTTTACAATTTTTTTGTATTTTCTATTTAGTTGGTTGTATCAATGAGTCCCATAACTGCATTTAGATAGGACATGCGGAGGTCACTAGAAGCTACAATCACCTTATTATGCGGAGGTCGAGGAGGATGAGCATAATAAGTTATAGTAGTCTCGGTCGCTTTTGAACGAATACCAGATTGAACCAAAAACTCTCCAAGTGTGAGCTTCCGTGTCGTACGCATGAACCACACCTTTGAAAGTATTATACTTCATCTCCCTCACCACAAGATACTTGCCATCATACGCAACCACGTTCCAGCATACAAGATTTCTTTCTTCCATAGATACGTTCATTATCTGCTTGGTGAGGGTCCACTTGGAATTTTCTATTAGTGTGTGAACTGAGATATTTTCTTTCGTCCCTGTTATTAAGGTTAAACGATTGTTCTTCTTGTCTTCGCGAAAAATGGTTTCATATCCGTTTCTCCACCATGGAATATGGAAGAAATCAAGCGTGCTTGCTCTGTCTCCGGATTGAAAGCTATGATGCTACCGTCGTTTCTCAACCAATGAAGAGTGCCGTCCAAGTAAACGGGTTTCATCCACACCGTGAGATCACTTTTGGAGGTGGTGGTGACCGTCGTTTCCGATAACCTCCAAATATATCCGTCACTGATCTCGAATGCGTACACCGTTTCCATCTCCAAAAATATCATTACGATCACCACCAACTATCTTGGACATAAGTTTTGACCCTGAGTGATCCAGGACTCGGAACCTCTTTGTTAGTGGGTTTGCCACAAAAAGATCACCGATGTATAGTAGGAGAAGGCCGGAGCATGAGCCGAAAATGTAACATGGCTCTTTAAATAGCTCTACTTCATTTCCCGTTGACGTAGAATCGTAGGAAGAGAAAGACTTACAGAAGACGTAATGGGCGCCAAAGCTGCTGAGGTGAAACAAACTGGATCCAACCCGGAAAGAGTATTCAGATTCAAAATCCGGATCGTCGGATATATGCGAATTGATATATCTATTAGTGCATCGCATCATCGCTAGAGATTTGAGTTCCAATCTGAAAAGAATATTGTCGAGAAGATGAAAGGGTAAATCATTCATGATCAGATCCAAGTGAGAATCTTCCTAAATTTTTTTTGATTGTTTTTGTTTATTTCAGTGATTTATAGGCCAGCTTGTTATATAGACAACAAATTCTAGCATGAAAAGAAATAACAATCAATTCAAGGACAATCTCACCATTATAAGAAATTTGAAAATATCATTATTATTTAGTTTTTCTAGATTGCAAAATAAATTTTAGTAAATAATTTGAGCAAAATGTCACCAAAAGAGTATAAATATATCTACCGGTAATAAATATTAATTATGTCAAAAGTTACTAATTAGCTAACAATATATTTGTCTTCTTGGATGATGATGATGTCAAAAAATAGTCAAATACTATATTCATTATTAAAAAATTAAAATTACCCAATTCTATTAGAAATAAATCTTGTGACACAAGGGTTTGGAAAAAAATAAAATATATATCAAATATTTTGATGAAATAATGAAAAATTAAAAAATAGTATTTTAGATTGCACAATAATTTATCAGTTATTATTTTTTACTCTTAGAAAAAAGTCAACAAATACTATATCAAATGGTAATAAATATTTTTGATTAATTTCTGAAATTATTAAAGTTGATTAAAAATCATAATTGGACAAGAGTCCAAAATTTCCAATACGGGAACATGTCATATTATTTTAAAAATTTCTTTGAGAAAATTCACGTTTTACATTGAAAGGTTTTATACGCTAAGGCCCAACCCAGATAAAAATATAGGTAAAAGGGCTTGTGTTGCATTTTATACAAACTTCAGGCTTCAAGCCTTCAACTATCTTGCCGAAAGTGGTTTCTACTTTCTAGTAGAACAATGTGCTATGTGAGACAGAGTTTCAACGTGGTAACATTTTTGTTCTAGCTTTTCTTTTTTTTTGGCTTACTGAGTGATGGATCGGACATCGGAGGATGTGTATGTGGAACGTACAATTTACAAAAAAAAAAACTATTTTTACTAATCGGAGAGAAATTGAAATGAAAACGGGAGGTCATTTGAGTTGTGTGATTGATAATATGTTGAGAGAATTTTTCGAATCGTGAAATCAGATTTAGTGGGGGTTAACTTCTCACACCCGTATAGCAAAAACCATTTTTGTATTATTTTATCAAAGCATAAGGACTTGCAAAGTTTGTTTCTTGCCAAACAAGTAACCGAATACATCATTTGGTTGGATTGATTATTTTCTCTTCATTGCTATTGTTATGTATAAATAAGCATTGACCAACATTGTTTTTTTCCACATGCGCCTATTGGGCATGTCTTTTGGCTATGTAGACCATCGAATTTGACTTTATGTCTCCCACCACGAGGTGGAAGGCCAAGCCATTGTACATCACTCTCTCTGCAACCACTGAGTTGCCAAACTCCTCTGGAGTTAATGCGCCCTGTAAAGCAATCCCATGAGATCCACAAAAATAGTTCCCAGGTTCAAAAAAAGGAAATCATATGAATGTATCAAACCTTTAAGAAAGCAAGAGGAATTAACTCGCAGCGGCTGACATTGTCAAACGGCATTACATCCACAAGAAAAGCAACTCGGCCGCGTTTGGAAATACCACACCATGTCCCACCGTTTTGTCCATAGAATCCTCCCAATATCTGTTTTTCTTCATCCCAATCCGCCACGTTTACTGGGCTTCACTCCAGTTAAAAAAGAAATGAAAGTAAAATCAGTATTAATCAACAATGTATATTGGATCCACAAAATAAAGACATAAAAGCTCGAATGTAATAAGACTTGCCAGGATTCCCGATTCTCCCTGTTCTGCATCAGCATAAGTTGTTTCTCTCCCCATTTGAACGCCACTACTGCCATTTTGTTGAAAGAATATTGTAAGTTTTTTTGCTATTTGAATCTCTTGCTCTGTGTTTTTTCTTTTTGTTGTGATTCTGTGTTGTGACCCCTACTCTGTTTTTATAGCCGAGAGATGATTCAACTGTGCTCTGCTTTTTCCTTTATTGTCAACTTCTTCTAACGTAAGTACCCCAACGGGCTTAAAAGTTTCTTTATCCATTTTTGGATATAGCTTTTGCTGTTTTCTGTCACCATCATTCTTACTCTCTCCTCCATTCACTAACCACCATGAACCGTGTCCATGTTATACAATTTACTTTTACAGAGTCATGTATGTTATGTAAAACCACGAAAAAAGTCTTCTAGAAGCATAAACTTACTATACCAAGTAAAATGTAAGACACAGAGAGTTTCAACATTTCTCAAAATTCTTCCACTTTAGCTCTATAGCTTTTTGCTGATTGAGTAAGGAGGACTCTTTTCTATGTGGAACCATTCAGAATTATTTTTTACTATACTAAGAAGAAATTACAAGAAGTGGTTTCTGGTAGCACACAAGTTTAAGACTCATATCCAACTACTCTTTGGTCTTAGCTAGCTTTGGTAGTCCAATTCTAGTAGCTCTAGTGCTTATTGAGTAATTAAGGAGAAGTCATGTTTACGTGGAACCATTTATAAAATACTTTTACTAATCGGAGTAAAATTGAAATGAAGACGTTAACCAAACCATCACCACACGCTTAAGAGATTCCTTATGTAATTTTGGGTATAGCTTTTGCTGTTTTCTGTCACCATCATACTTATTCTCTCCTCCATTCAGAAACCACCAGGAACCGTGTCTATGTGATTATACATTTTACATTTACAGATTCATGTATGTAAAACGAAAAATGGGGCTTCTAGTAGCATAATTAAACGTGCTATGGTTCGTAAAATATAAGATACTGATCGAGTTTCAACATTTCCTAAACTGTTCCACTTTTGCTCTAGCTTTTTACTCATTTGGTGATATATGGACGAGTCGAATGTATGTGGAACCCTTTGAAAATTCTTTTTACTATTCTAAAAATATACAAAGTTGGTTTCTAGTGGCACACAACTTCAAGACTGTAGTAATATTTGGTCTTTGCTTCGGTAATCCGAGCCTAGTTGTTAGGTGACCCTGTATAATCAAATAGACGCTAAGCTAAGTATACATGTGGAATCATTTAAGACTTTAACATATATACCAACAAAAAAAAAAAGAGAATTCTAGTGACACATATTAGAATAAATACATGTATATAGCTTATTATGTAAATACAGTTGTAACTATACAGAGTATAAAAACTCTTTGTACACACATTTACCAAATAATGAGAATGAATCTTTTCCCTTATCTCTCTTACTTTACTAATCTAATAACACAAGTGGAAGATTTGCATTCATACGTAAAACTTGATCACTTTCAGTTTCGTTACGGACCTGTGAAATTGAGATTTAGCATATACCAAAATCTAAAAAGGGTACCATAGGGTTTTTTTAGTGGCTCCATATTTATTATCCCTAACCGTGTATAACCTTGGAGATTTGTGTGATACTATTTTATGATAATTTATGAACGTAATCATTTTGGCAAATTGTAATGCTTTTTCTTATGGGTTCTTGCTTTTTCTACATTCCTACGTTCATACTAATTATGATAATTTATGAACGTAATTATTTTGGAAAATTATAATGCTTTTTCTTATATATGTTCTTGCTTTTTCTATATTCCTACGTTCTTGATGTTTTCTTAATAATGGTTTAATCATTCAATTAAAGTGGAAGCACAAATGTGCTATAGTAAGTAAAATGGAAGACACATTGTTTCAACATTTCTCAAATTGTTCCACTTTTGTTCTATAGCTTTTTGCTGATTGAGTAAGGAAGAGTCATGTTAGAATATTTTTACTATAGTGAGAAAAGGCCTTCTAAGACATATAATCTGGTCAAAAGAACCACCACATACGACAAAAAGCAAGCGAGAGAACGACAGTGATTGCTCGTGATACGCCGTGACATGTAGATGGTGAACCACTCCTTTCGTCCAGAGCACCTTCGTAGACCATCTGCGACGACGTCGTCCTGCCGGAGCTTGGACTTGTCGTCGTCATTGTCTCTGTGCTCTGTTCCTCGGCTGATTTTAGGCTGCAAATAAAGGAATAAGTGAATGAATGAAGTTCCCACGTGTCTCTAAGTCTAAGTCTATTAGTTTATTGATTTATAAATTTATATAGGATTTGAAATTTTTTTATTATCAAAACATATGAATTTTGAAATAACATGTATTTATCTATGGATTTGAATTCTTCTATTGTTTTTTTATAAATCCATTCAAATCCATTTAAAACAAAATTTGGATTTTGAAATCCAAAACAAATGACTAATATTTAACTAAGCAAACATAGAATTTTAACTAGTATTTATAAATCATAAAACCAATAACACATGATTTTAATTAGGATTTTAAAATTGATTGAATTTTAGATTTCTAAATCTTTATAAATCCATAAACCAATAAAGCCTCCTTATATATGGGCGTGACAAACGATCATTGAACGAAAATAAAACTTGTATAGCAAAATTAATGATTATAGATGAAATTATTGAGTATCTATTGACTTCGACTATACAACAAGCCAAAATCCTTCTTATCATAGAGGAAAATTATTTCTAATCACCTTTTACGAATTGGGTGAAAGTAAATAGATGAAGGGTGTTTAAGGAATTTACCTGGTGTTGGGAGAAGGACAGAAAGTGATAACGTAGTTGGGAGATTTCGCGCACGTAAATGTACTAGACTTATCGTCATACGCGTAGCTATAGGCGCGTGGACACGCGCTCTTGAAGATCCTCGAGTACGAAGACGGCTTACACGTGTCAGGCGACCCAAACGCGCCGCTGCAGCAATACTCCGGCTGCCGAAACGCTTCGCACGCGCTTTTACACGCCATCGTCACCACCCCTTTCCCACCGCCGCCGTCGCCTCCGACGCTATTCACTCTTAGCTCGGACGGACATGAGCCGTTTAAATCGACGACGCAGCCAGTGCTGCTGCAATTCTGACCGGAGCCACCTTGAGGAACCACCAGCATCTGAACATTGTAGCCGTCGACGAGGCTGACATCGTAGAAATCGAGTCCTCCGGAACCGTCGAGGGTAAATTCAGCTAGAGTCGCAGGAGGGGCAGCTCCAGCGCCGGAGCATTCAAGTTTTCCGGAACCGCAATCTCCAGTTGCGCAGGAGAATTTTCCATCGGAATTGGTAGAGCAGAGTGTCCTTCCCCAGAAACGACCGCCCCATGAAGACGGCGCGTCGATTGTACGCGTCTCTCCTTTCTGGAGGACGAAGCCTGTAGTTGGTAATGGAGGAACTCCGGCGTTAGATAGAATTCCCGGCCAGACTGTGTATTCGCACTTGTTCGAAAATGTGAAGCTCCTTGACATAACTCCTGAGATTGAAGAAATATAAAAATGGTTACACACAGTCGTTGAATCTGTGAGCTTAACAGGTAAATTAGAGAAAGATTATTACCGGAGAAGAACAAATTCGAAAACAATAAGAATAAGAATATCAATGCCATGATTATGCTGCAGAGAAATGTGAACGCTCTGTTTCTTCTTTAGGGAGCGAAACAGAGAAGGTAAAACAGAGGAGTGATTTAAAAGAGTTAATTCTGTTGACGATCTTTTTATTAGCTACAATCCATAGGGGCTACAATCAAGTGTTGCTGTATATTGGTATGTCTGATGACGTGGTTGATTTTTAGTGGATATAGGATTTAGCCGTTGAATCAAACGGTTACTGACAAATGAGCCTCTGACAAAAAGAAATAGCCTGCTAGATTTCTCCTTTGTTGGTCGGCTCTAAGAAAAAATCTCAACCATTACTATTGTCATCATATAAATTGAAAATATCTTCGATCGAGTCATGATATTTTATGGCTTGGAGGTAAAATTATAGCGCAAATGAATTAGTAGTCTAACCCAAAATCAACTAATCCAGTAATTCAAGTGTCTTAACTCTTAAGAAACCATTACTTGTTTAAAAGAATTTCATTTGGTAATGTTTATCTATAATAAGATTGGATATTACTCATCTCATTGTCATAGGATTGGTTAGCTACCATAATATACAGATTGCTGTCAATTGAATGCAATTCTTTAACCATTTGTTTGTTGTTCCCTATCAATTAGTTAAAGAAAATGACATTTTTAGATGGATACCTATCAATGTAACTTTGAGCAATATAATGGCAAGAAATGAATGATAATTGATTAAAGAACTCTTTTTTTAGTATAATATATCTAAAAAAACTTATCTTCACATTACAGAAATTCGGAAGCAGAGAATTACAGTTTTTTTCAGCTATACTTGCTACAGAATGTCATAGGGCTTCTGATCAGTAGACTTCAACGTTCCATTGCTCTGCCTTCTTCAACTGCTTCTTATAGTCAAACCAGTCAATACCTAAAACCATCACAAAGTCATTTGAGTGTTATTGCTTATGCAATGGATGTTTCAAGAATTAGAGTGCTATTTATTTGCTCTTTTTTACCGTCATTTGCAGCCAATGAGACCATAATGTCATCAATTCCTTTCTCCATTCCCTTGAGCCCACACATGTAGACAAAAGTGTTGTCTTTCTTCAACAACTCCCATAATTCAGCTGCGTACTGCGCCATCCGAGTCTGGATATACATTTTCTCTCCTTTATCGTTCGCTTGTTCTCTGCTTATAGCGTAATCCACCCTGAAGTTCTCGGGGGCCTTTGCTTTCATCTTATCAAACTCCTGATTTTTCACAACAAGAAAGAGCATTGATTTACTTTTTGATTTGGAAGGATTTGAATAATGAAGCCAGAAGAAGAGTTAGCGTGTCTGTGCCTCTTGGTAGAGCAATGAGCTAGTGGTTGGTACACCCAAGAACAACCAGGCTAAGCCATTGAACTGCATTTCAACGATTGCAAAGATGTTAGTTTCCAATACATTTGCTCAAAATCAAGAAGATTATTGACCGAAATCATTTACTTCACCTTGTAGTCATCATGTTTCTCAAAGAACATCTTCCATAAGAAAGACCGGAAAGGAGCAATTCCTGTCCCTGTGGCAAGCTGTGTTGTTCATAAAGAAGAAGGATATTACTAGTGTTTAATTCAAGAAACAGAACCTATAGAGGTTTAATTATAAGCAAGTCAAGATATTTGAGGTTTAAGGGAGAGACCATAATAACAGTGGCGTTTGGATCCTTTGGCATAAGCATTTCTTTGCCTACAGGACCAGTCAGCTTAACATCACTTCCGGGTGCCAAATCACCTGAAAAAGAAAAGTAAAAGAAAACACAAAGCTTGAATATAGGAAGAAGTTTAAACACAAAAACAAGACTTTTTCGTTGGTTACTTACACAAGAAATTTGAGCAAACTCCTTTAACAGTCTCTCCTTGGTCATTAGTATAGACAAGTCTTTTCACACACAAAGAAACCTGAAACAACTCCTTCATTCACTCAACCAGACAAAACAAAGCCTATTCTTTCGTACAATCTGTAAAGGAAATGGTCTATTACGGTTTCAGAATTGCCGAGATCTCCAAGAGCGCTGCTCGCTATCGAGTAAAGTCTGACCTTGTGAGGCTTTCCATTCTTGTCAATTCCATCTGCAATCACACCAACAGATTGTCCTTCTCTGTACGGGATTTCTCCTATCACATAAATGCTACTTCAATTACCATCAAGAAAAGAATCATTATAAGGAACTGTAAAGTAAGAAACATGTTGTGAAATCAAATAATGGAATCACTACCTTCATGGCTCAAAACCATGTGCCAGGTCTCTCCAGGAGCATCATCAGCTGTGATTTTGGTGTTGAGAAGGCATTTTCCAATGTAAGGCTCCTTTGGTCTGTACCTATTAACAATCACACCTTCCTCATTCTTCTTTGACACTTTCTCAACTTTCTTGGCAGGAGTAGGAGTATCTGTTTCTGTTGTGATTTGTGCTCTTATGGAAAACACTCTTTTGCTTGTCACTACATTGTTGCTTTTGTAGTAAAAAGCACCCTTTAACACACACAACAACAACAAAACCAGAGAGACCTAATCAAGATCCCATCAACAGTACATTGATCTTGCAAAAGTTTTTGGTCATATTTGAGACAATAGAATCTAAGTACAAACCTAGAAGCTACTTATCCAAAGTCCCAAACTTTACTAACAACAAAAACAGAGACCTAATCTAGTACACTGATCTTATTTCTAAGTGAAACCCACCAAATTTCAAAACTGTACTTAACAAGTTACAAGACCCAGAAGGTTATTAGCAAAACCCTAAAAGCAGAGTATCTCTAGACTCTCGACTACACTTGACTTCATCATTATCCAGTTGAGAAAAGCTTTAAAATACCTTACTAAACCTGATCCTTTCAGGAGCAATGGCACAACTTGTAGCTGGAAACGAAGAAGAGTTTGAAGATGTGAGGGAAACAGCAGCATTCATGGTAGTAGTCATTGCAGAGCAAATGAAATCAAATTGAGAGAAAAAATCAGAGGAATATAAAAAGGAATCAGAAGGAGAAAGATAAGAGAAGGATTAGAAGACATTTGTGTTTGGGTGGATGAGGTTTGTAGAAGAGAGTATCTCGTTGATCAAAGTTGTGGTTATCGTTATTTGACTAGAGAAGCTATATATCTCTTTTGTTTTTTTTGTCCTTAAAATATCTTGTGTGTATAAAACACGAAAATCAACTCAAGTATGATATGTTAAAACAAAATATTTAACACATGTATGCAAATCCCATAATTATATTGCTTTTTCATTTTCCAGAACAAATTTAATAGATAGTAAATTAGTACCCTTAAGTTTCAAATCTCATTAGACACAATCCAATTTTATTTAATTTTTTAAAAAAACTTTAATTATAAAGCAAACCAAAAAATATGATGTGGTCAAACTTTAATTATAAAATTTTCTACCAAAAACTTTAGATATACAGTGTTGCATTTTTGGACAAGATATTATCACCCATAACTTTCGTACTTGATCAAAATTATGTTTTATTATACCTTTTCACTTTTCAATTGATGCCAATACATATATAAATGGTGTACATTAGCACAAATGATGTATAGAAAATTGAAGTTGTAAATTGTTTTCTTTTTATTCGGTGATTGTTGAATCCTGGTCTACCTGTGAGATATCACTTCCACGAGAGTTGATCATGGATTGCATAGCACGTGTACCGAGATGCTACTATCCAACGCTCTCTCTTGTTTCCAAGATGTTTCGGTCTATCGTTGCATCACCTGAACTATACGTGAGACGGTCCATTTTAGGCTGTTCCGAATGCTATACACATGAATAATATCACCCATATACTTTCTTTCTCTATTATTTTATTTTCTTACAGAGAGTATAAATAATCTCATACCCACACATGCTTTAAAAAAAGGAAAAAAGTTGAGATTCACACACACACACATATTTATAATTCTTTAGCGACGATGATATATAACTTTGATTTTATTCCCTAATCCCTCGGGATGTGGCTTATGACCGGAATTTTGGCCTTTGTCTCATTCGCTCGATCGATAGCAAGAGTCAGAAGACCGCCAACCCCCATATCACGTGAACCCCTTGACAATACAAAAAAAATAAAAATAATAATAATAATTAATTAATTAATAAGAATTAGCTCTAACACAAAAAAAAAACTAAGGCTATATATCCATGCAATGAATATAATATAGCTATCTATATCTATAGGTATTCGTACGTACCATTATGAGTTGGCGGCTTCATCCACATTTACAAATTTTTTTATCGAAATCCTCCAACACCTGAACGGCGTCCACTTCCTGATCAGCATGCCCCTCACAATACTCATCTAGCACAAGGACGGAGCTAATCAATGGGTAAAAAGGTTAGTTATCCCCATAACATTTGCAAATTTTATAATTATAAGATAAGTTACTGATGTGTTGCGTTTTTAACGGTTTCGAGTCTTGGTTTAGTCCATGTTTTGAGTCATCTATCGTATCAAAGTCCGTCTTTTGCGCCTTTTCGGTTGTGTCTTGAGTCCTTTGCAGGCTATAGGTGCTCGAGCTGGATTCGGAGCATCTTGTGCATGATTGAGCCTATTCGGAGCTAAAACAATGGAGAAACGGTACAAGAGATCACCAGGAGCTGGGGATCGATCGATCCAAGGCGTGGATCGATCGATCCCAATTGTGACGATGAAACCAAAAGTTCCAGTCGCTCGAGATCGATCGATCCCAGGAGGGGATCGATCGATCCAACCCTCATTCGTCCGAGACAATTGATTCAGCATTTCTGGATCGATCGATCCACCCATGGGATCGATCGATCCAACCCTCATCCGTCCAAGACCGTGATTCAGCATATCTGGATCGATCGATCCACCCATCGGATCGATCGATCCGAGCCTCGACGCCCGAGACGGTTTTCCTAAACCGGGTTTTGTCTTCCTTTTTTTTTTTTTTTTGTACTTGGGTATAAAAACCCCAGAGACCTAATTTTCTTTTGACGTTTTTTTTCTGCAATTTTTCTGAGACTTCTCTCTTGTAAGCAACCTTGGGATTCTAGAGATTCATCCTCTTTGACAATTTGGAGAAGATTTCTAAACCCTATTTCTTATTTTCATTGCAATTCAATTATGTCTTCTTCATCTATTTGTCTTGTTTCTGTTGCTATGTGTGAGTAGTCTTTTAATTAGGTGTTAGGGTTCTAATTAGGAGATTCGATAGATTAATGGATTAATTGTTGTTTGGAATTCTCATTCTCTAGGTTCTTTGA